ACACACACACACACACAATATGCTGTTGATGTATAATATAGCTGATGAATAATCCTGATGCTGATGTTATTTCCGTTTCATTAACCCTTAATAAATTAAACACTCTGAGTGAAAATTAACAGCAAGGATTTTTTTTTTAATCATTCAGCAGCAGTCTGCTTGCTTGTGTCTGTGTGAATAGTGGGCCAAATGAATGCTGCAACACACCAAAGAGTAATCACATCATGGGAATGTATCTGACAAAATAAAATAAAATGTGCACCTAAATGATATATTTTTTGTCAATGAAAGTAAACATGGAAATATACGGTGTCTATTTTTTAATCTTGAGCTATTTAATCTTTTAGTGAGCGTTCAGTAAAGTAACTCATATTTATTCTTTTTATCATTTGTTGATTAGATATGTCTAAAATACATGTAACCTACATAGGATACCGTAATTCCAGCAGATTTTACTTTACACTGTGACAAAAGTAGGCTGAAGGTAAACATTTGATTTGATCCATTAAAACTGTCAAAGAATCTAAGAAATAAAACACTGAAAATCTGCGCAACATTGGCCAGTCCCTTAATCTATCTGCTGTTTTCCCCTGCACTCTTACTTTTTCTTAATTAAAAATCTATTATTAACGGTATATACAGCCGTCTGTACGATTGTAGGTTGCATATGGTTTGATATTTTAGCCTATTTTGATATTGCCCCCTCCACTGGGTCGCAGTGAGGATGAAAGGCCTCTTACACGCCACCATTTGCAGTCTTTTACTGACTGAACGTTTCGAGTGGACGGCACATGGTTCAAAGACACTTTAGTTTGGGGGGTTAGACCGTTTATTGGACTTGGCAGTCAGTGTGTGTCTATCAAACACCTGCTTTAGGACAGACGACCGTGCCGACGCACAGCCCGTGAAGTTGGTCTGGATTTGCTGCTGCTCGGCCTTTAATCCACCTAACAAGGTAAGCCTCCAGCTTTATTGCGTTATTTAACTATTAATGTATGTGATTATGTTTCATTCATTTATTTTATATTTCCGTCCTTATCTCCCTTTGCTCTCTTTAGTTTGTGTATGCTCCCCATCCAGCGCGCCAAACGCCCTCTGTAAACGCGCTACGTGCTGACATGCCTGAATCTTTCATTAAATTCTCTAAGAGAAAGATTACAGTAATACCTTCTGACCTGCACTTTCACTGAATGAAACGCAGTTAATTTCGTTTAATGCGCAAAATGTCTTGTAGCCTACAAAATGTTTGTTTGTTTACTTCAAATGAACAAAAACAAAGCATTTGCACAACATGTATATATCTACAGGATAGTGCGCAGTGACAGGGGTTAATGGATGCTAATTCAATAATTAATAAGGGTTTTAATATTTCAGCGCCTCACACTTAAATAGCGTTAATGCTGCTGTGAGATTTCAGTGAAGACCCTAAGAAATATCTCCCTAAGATTACTACTACTACTACTACTACTAATATTTTTTAAAATCTGAATAATAATAATAACTTAATTATAATATTGATAATAAGGTCTAGGCCTATAGCCACGGTCTGATGGTTAGACACATTTTTGTCGTTTCGACGTTTCAAATGGTGTAACACCACCTGCACATAATATCTCAGGTCTACATTCGGTGTTTCATCGATTTAAATCCAATTCTGAAATGTAATGCA